TTCTCAGGCTGAAGGAACAAATGTGGCTTCTTCATCTGCCTGTGTCCCGGTTCACTGCCGGATGACAGCCACAGATTGGCTGAAGGATAGACAGGTGAGTGGTCAAGAGGTTTGGTTTTAGGTTTGTTCTTGTTTAAATGACTGTAAGTTTGTTATTCTGTGTTAGCATATTTGTTGAGATGATCATTAAGAAATTAGTTTATGAATGATTCTAATTAGTATTAATGGTGATTTTTCTACTAATTGATTGAATTTTACATTTCCTGATTTTCCTTTTTTCCTATCTTTATTGCATTCTGTTGCTTTCCACAGGTGTTTGACATATGGCATGAAGCCATAAATTCAGGTATAAACTTTCTTGTATTGAAAAAAGGGTATTATAACATTTTATTATTATCCTAAAAGCCTTACCTTATGTTTTTTTATGGTCAATTACTTTGTTTAATGAAAGCTTTAGTATGCTAAACATTTGAGGAAGTTAACATTAACTAAATAAAGTATAAATGTTGCTTGAGCAGAGTATTGTAAGCCAACTAACTAAAATTGTTTAAATGTTATTTGCTCTTTATTTGCTGCTCTTTACACAAATCATGATAGCTGTAAAGTAAGAATGCATAGAGTATATTAGGCTAAGTACTGAACATACTTCTTTGTAAGAAATTTGTGAGAATACTTACTTTTTGATAGTATATGCTCATCAGAAAGTAGTAATTCTGATCAAAATATGATAGAATACTGACTTTTACAAAACTTGTGAAAGTATTCCTTTTCTTTCATACTCATTCAGCAAAAACTGAATTTATGAGGTATTTGAGATCCTTGACTCATTCCCACAAACTGATTCCAGTTCTACCAAGTGGCCTTCCTCTACATGGGCACAAGGCTTTTCTGCAATCTGACACAAGCTTATGTCCCCATATACTTGCAAGATTCCCTTCACCTGTCGGAGGAATCTGTGGCGTACATCCCCCTTGTCATGTACGTGTCAGGGTTCCTTACCACCATGATACTGAAAGCACTCAATAAGTTCATTGGAAGGAAGGTAAGCTTTTTTTAAGTCTCTTGATATTGGGGTGTAATTATGGGTAGCAGTTTAAAAGAATATTAATTTTGAATTGTCCTTTGTAACTTGAATGGTTTCTGTTTTAACTTTTGTGCTTTTTGTATGACTTGGAAATGTATTCTTTTCTCCCTGGAGATCTTCATTCTAAGGGTGACCATTTTTTTATGATATAAATACCCCCTCTGTATTTAATTCACATCCTTCCCACCATTTGCCAAGGCGTCCTTCATCCTGGGCACCCTCATAGGCGGAGCAGCCTGCATTGGCATCTGGCTCGGAGAGGGGGATGTCTACTGCAAGTACCTCCTTTACGTGGTGACTGCCATGCTAGGGGCAGGTGGCTCCATCATGCTGATCACGTCCCTTTCCATCACGGCAGACCTCATTGGCCCAAATATTGAGTCAGGAGCTTTTGTCTATGGTGCCATGAGCTTTACAGACAAGCTCTCCAATGGGATAGCCGTTATGTTAATCCAAAACCTGAATCCCTGCACGTAAGTATTTCTGTGAGTCTCAGATCTCTTGATGGGTCATGCAGACAATGTGCCTTGGTGTTTCTTCTCTTGAACAGCCTTGTGTGGACTCTGTTTTGGACTGTCAGTCATGTAAACTTGCTTTTCTTTGACTTGTTTGTCTGTTTTTGTCTATTTTATCAAGTTATTTGATTGTTTTTTCTTGCCAGTGAATGAGTCCTCTTGTTATGTTTTAAAATCCAACAAAACTACTGTTTTATGTAGTACTTTTTTGCATGATTTGACATGCAATGTGTTCTTTGCTACTAGATGCATAATACTTGCACACAATATCTGAGCTAGCTAGACAAAACTGTTGCTGGTGCATCAGGAAGCTTATCTGAATGTTATATAAAGAAACTTTTAATTATTATAGGGAAGCATCAGCTAAAAGACAGTTTAAAGAGTTGTAGTGATTAACCCAATTTAACATTTGTTTCAGCACAAACCCCATTAGGTGCGTAAATACAAATTTTGTGCATGAAGTGCTTCACGGACCTCTGCAGGTGCATGTCTTATTAACCCCCACTTCCCTGCTATTGCATGGTTTCTATTTCTCTAACAGTATGATAACAAAATTAATAATAACACGATAGAGGCAATAAAAATGAGATTCCAGAGTAATTTAAGCTATACTCATTGAGATCATCAACCCTTTCATGAGTCTCCAGCGTAGGGAAATGATTATTTGGATGTCATCCTTTCCATGTAAATGTTTTGTTTGTTATAATCCTCTTCTCATAATCTCAGTATATTGCCAGTTATCAGTTACTCTCATTTTATTGTTTGTCTTTTAGCTATTAGTTTTCCTCTTCTTTAGCTCTAGTGTCTCATACATTTCAAAGGACAGTAAGGATTGGACAAAATATGCTTTTACAAGAAGTTGAAGGGGATAGGTAATTGCAACTTGCATTAGAACGCATTT